CCCTCCCCTAAACAGCTGGCTTGCTTCCTGAAATGCTGGGTCTGTCGCACCATCGGGGACTTCTTTCCCTGTGCTTCCTGCCTTCCTGAACGTGCAGGGGGAGGGGGAGAGTAGGAGTCCTGGGACTGCGCACCAGCTCCAACTTCAGCCGAATGGTCCCTGTCACCTCCCCCTGCCTAGACTCCCACAAGTACCTGTCCCAGCCCCTACCAGCACCCTTCCCCCTGGCCAGACACCATACAGCACCCTCCTCCTGCCTCCTTCTCAGGCTCCCACCAGCACCCTGCCCCCTTCCCAGGACCCCATCAGCACCCTGCTCCTGCCCCGGCCCCCATCAGCAGCCTGCTCCCTGGCCAGACTCCCACCTGCCCCCTGGCCAGACACCCACTAGCACCCTGCTCCTGTCCCCTCCCTCCTGGCCAGACACCTACCCCCAGCTTGCTCCTGTACCCTATTTTCCACCAAGATGCTGCACCCCCATCCTTATCCCACTCACTGGCAGCCCTGTCACACACACTGGATCCCTCATTTTTGGCCCCACCTCAGATTGTAGAGGGGCCCACAAATTCCACTAACTCTGGAACCCCAGATGAGTTAATCCAGCCTGGGGCTGGAGTGTCAGGAGAGTGAGGTGTCTCAGTTGGGGCTACTTTAGTGAGGCTTGAGGTTTTTTTGGAGGGGTTGTTTTTTGCATCTCACTTGTGTGGCACCAACTGACTTTTCTGTGGGTCAGTGACCCCTCACACAAAACAGGTTCCCTGACCCTCTCATAAATAAAAACAATACTGAAACATTTTGTGTTGGACATAATATTTTATTTAAAAATGAAGCCTGGCCAATAAGCCCCCAACTAGGGCCAGGTTCCATCTGGGCACAGCATCATAACATTCCTGATCCCCACCCTCCCCTGCAGGCCTGAAACCTGAGCCTATCATACACTGGAACCCCCTGTCCTGAGCCTCTCACATCCCTAAATTCCTGCACCCCCCACATCCTCAGTATTCTGCCACAATACTTCTGCACCATCCACACACCCCAAATCGGTGTCCTAAGCCCATCATACTCCCAGCCTCCCTGCCCTGAGCCCCCTCACACACGCCAACCCAACCTCCTGCACCCTCAGATCCACAAGCCTATGGCTTGCTCAGCACCCCAACCCTCCACTTAACCTCAACACTCCCCAGCCTGGAGCGCCCTCCCTGGGCCAGCATCCCCTTCTCTGCCTCCTCCTGCACCCAAATTCCCTCCCAGAGCTTGCACCTCTCACCCCTTCCCACACCCAAATCTCTCATTCCCTCCCCAGAGCCTGCACCTCTTGTCTCAATCCAGTGAGAGTGAGTAAGAGCTGGGGACAGAAAATGATGGAGAGGTGGGGAACAGAGGGTGGGGCCTCAAGGAAGGGTTGGGGTCTTGGAGAAGGATGGGGTAGATCTTGGCTTGCCCTGACGTTTAAAAAGTGAGCTTGGGTGTAAAAAAGTTTGGAGACCACTGTACTAGCACATGCTACAGCTTTATAAAACCAATACTGAGCATTCTTGAGACATCCTACATTTTGAACTTTCAGTGAAGCTCACTTTGTTGGTATTTCAGATGCTACAGAACTCTTACCAATACTATGGTGTAACATTCTGTTATGTACGTGTGGTTTTCTTAACAAAGTCCTGTGGTTAGAGTTTAGCAATATGCCTTCGTCTGAGGTAAACAACTTTGCTCCCTTGTCCCTCTTCTTCTTTTACTGTATCAAATTTTGGCTAGGAACACTGCAAAATAAAAGCAGAAATTTTATCTGCAAAACATTAGAAAAGTATTTTCATGATTAACGTGCATTTAGTTGCTCGCCAAAGGTGCTGACCTCTTTGACAAGCTTGGAGACAGAATCCTCTGTTTATCTCCGGAATGGTACAGCACAGGCAAAATAAGTGCAAGTTTCCACACATACATAGTGCTTTGCCAGTGAGCCTCAGAAAAAAATTAAAAAGATTGCACTTCAAGTATTTAGCCCAGTTCTGTATATGTGTGGTTAAGCACATTAACTCCATTGAGATACCTGTCCTACTACAATAGGCAGAGGGCTAGCTCAGTAGTTTGAGTATTGGCCTGCTAAACCTACGGTTGTGAGTTCAATCTTTGCAGAGGCCGTTTAGGGATTTGGAACAAAAATTTGTCAGGGATGGTATTTAGTCCTGTCGTAAAGGCAGGGGACTGGACTTAATGACCTTTCAGTTCTAGGAGATAGGCAATCTCCATTAATTTTTTTTAATATATGCACAGAACATGTCTGGCCTGGCTCATTACATACACTTAGCACAAATGGCCCAGAACATAGTCAGCAGCTTCCAGAGAACAATCAAGTGGCTGCAGAGCAAAACACACCGGCTATGTCTAGACTGGCATGATTTTCCGCAAATTCTTTTAACGGAAAAAGTTTCCGTTAAAAGCATTTGCGGAAAAGAGCGTCTAGATTGGCACAGATGCTTTTGCGCAAAAGCACTTTTGCGCAAAAGCAACCGTGGCCAATCTAGACGCGCTTTTGTGCAAAAAAGCCCCGATTGCCATTTTCGCCATCAGGGCTTTTTTGCGCAAAACAAATCTGAGCTGTCTACATTGGCCCTTTTGCACAAAAGCTGTTGCGCAAAAGGACTTTTGCCCGAATGGGCCGCAAGAAGCACTGATTTCTTACATGAGATTGTCAGTGTTCTTGCGGAAATTCAAGCGGCCAGTGTAGACAGCTGGCAAGTTTTTCTGAAAAAGCAACTGCTTTTGCGGAAAAACTTGCCAGTCTAGACACAGCCACCCAGTATTAGGGATGTAAAATCTAGTTTCATTGATTAACCAGTTAACCAATTAAAGAGGGGCATTAAATGGGCACCCACCACTGACAAGGACTGCTCTGGCCAGGCTGGACTGCCCCCTACCGACTCCAGCCCCCACTAGTTAACCGGAACTGGTAAACATTACTCATTAAGGGTGAGGCTTACCTAACTGGTTAACCATTCACATCCTTACCCAGCATAGTGTGCTGCCAGACCTGGTGTCCAATTCATTCAAGCAAAATGAAGCTCAAGCTTAGAGAGAAATCAGAGCTGGAAAGGTTTTGTGTACACAAGGAAAGGAAGAAGGGTATTTATTTCTTCCAGTGATTATTCATGTACATTTCATTTAGGTGAGTGCACTAAAAGGTTTTTCCTCCAGCAGTACCTGTTGAATCGGTCACACAACCTGGAGTGGCTCCTTCATGTTCATGGATTTAGGACCCTGCTGACCACTGGCTCCCTCTGTTCCTTCTTACCGCCTGTGACAGTTGTTGGAGCAGCTCACTCTTGCGTTCTGCAAGTGCCTTCCTAGCGGCCTTTCCCAATATTTCTGTACTTAGTTTTCTCTGCTGTTGTTAGAGTTAGCTTGTGGTTTGGGGAATCTCCCCCATCCTTCTTTCCTCTGGACTGGTGTATGCCTCAGTACCAGGGCTTTAAACCCTGTGAGAAGTGCCTGAAGCCTACGCCATTGGTGATCCGCACAACTCCTGCCTTAAGTGCCTCAGGAAGGGCCATCAGGCAGATAAGTGCAAAATCTACAGAGTGTTCAAGCCTCCAAGGAAAAGGAGAGAGGCTCCCAGTTGAAGCTCTTGGAGCATCATGGAGGCAGCACTTCACCCAGAAGTGGCATGTGACAGAGCGCCTGCCCTGCACTGGCCCTTTAAGACCAGGACTCAGGCCTGGAGCCGGGGCTAGAAAGAAAGAGGCCAGCTGGAGCTATTTGGGGCTAGGGAAAGCCCAGCTGGCAAGCAACAAGGGCAGCACGAGTGGCTTGTAGAAGCCAGCTGAACCCATTAGGGTGAGTGAGAGCCCAGCTGACAAGGATCCAGCACAGCACTAGTGGCTTGTAGAAGCCAGCTGAACCCATTAGGGCGAGTGGGAGCCCAGCTGGGAGGTATATATATAGAGAAGCACAGGTTGCTTGAGGGGGAAGCTAGTGGAGAGCTGACTGCAGAGGAGACAGAAGTGCCTTGGAGGGAGACAAGCTGGGGATAGCCAGCAATAGCTGGAGGAGGGTCAGCCAAGACTCCCCTGGCTAGGGGCTGGAGGCAAAGCCCTGGTTTGGAGGCGGACCTTGATGCAGCCTAGGTAAGCAGGGCAGTTGAGACAACCCTGATGCCTGAGCAATCCATACAGACTGTAACTTGCCCTGAGGGGCTATATGAGGACAGTCAGGGGGCACTGAGGCACACTGGGGTGTGAACCCCCTGACATGGCACTAAAGACAACTCTGGCAGCCTCAGAATGTAGCATGGTATGGGACCTCTCAGTACCAAAAAAGGATACTACCAGGGAGCACCAGGACCAGTCCCTAGCACTGAGGTCCAGTACCAGCATATTATGCTACTCTCCATCGCAGGTGCCACAAAAGAAGAAAAGGAAAAACAGAGGCTGCTCACCAGCATGGCACACCAGTTGGGTGCATCCTCCCTTGGGACACTTTAAGTCTGTCTTACACACCACACAGCCGTTGACTCCAGCCATTCCCAGAAGGCCATCGAGTCCCCAGCGAGTGGTGCTGGAGGAAGTCGGGGGAGGAATACTCAGACCTCCCTTCCATGTGGGAAACCTTTGAGGTGGCTTAGGACTTGATGAAGATGATACAGTTCCAGAGCCTCACACCAGCACTTGGTATGGCAGCCCTCTGAGGTAACAGTGTGTGCCTCAGCACCAAGTGCAGCACCAGCTATCACAGCACCAATATCAGCACCGACTGCCATGGCATCATTATCAGTGTCTACGGTGGCACAAATACACCCAGATTCCATAGCACTGATAGTGCCCAGCATCAAGAGAAACCAAGAAGGAGGAGGCATCACTCCTCCTTGCTGTGGCACTGATCCCTGGCACTGTTGGCTTCTACCCCACACTGGTCCATGTCAGAATACACATCTAATTTGAAGGCAGAATCTTATGCCTCCAGAAGGCGCGCACATCGCTCTAGACCTCAGAAGTGATGCTGGAGCAATGCACCACAGATCATGCCATAGGCATCATTTTATGCCTCCAGAAGGCGCACACATCGCTCCAGACCTCAGAAGTGATGCTGGAGCAACGCACCACAGATCATGCCATAGGCATCATGACCTCCCCAGTTGAAGTGGCAGTGGCTCTTCTGGACCTCATGTGCTTGTCACCAGGCCTAGGGCCTGCCTCCAGGCTGGCCTCAGTATCCCATGGGACCAAACAGCCACTTGTCTTTTCTTCCTCAGCCAAGTGGTTGAGAGAGCATATTCCTATCATGTTTTAATAGCCTACTGCACACTGGTATCTTTGACCATTTTCAATCCCAGTATCACTCCAGCCACAGAATTTAAACTGATCTGTAATAGGGCCAGTCATATTCAACATATTCACAAATTATTTGAAAAGGGAGTAAACAGTGAGGTGGCAAAATTTGAAGATGATAGAAAAACTACTCAAAATAGTTAGGTCCAAAGATGACTGCAAAGAGTTACAAAGGGATCTCACAAAACTGGATAACTTGGCAACCAAATGGCAAATAAAATTAAATATTGATAAATACAAAGTAATGCACATAGGAAAACATAATCCCAGTTATACATACAAGATAATGGGGCTTAAATTACCTGGTCCTGTTACCACTCAAGAAACAGATCTTGGAGTCATTGTAGATAGTTCTCTGAAAATAGCCAATGTGTAGCAGCAGTCAAAAAAGCAAACAAAATGTTGGGAATCATTAAGGAAGAGAGAGATAAAATGACAGAAAAATATCATATTGTCTATAAAAATCCATGGTAGGCTCACATCTTCAATACTGCATGCAGATGTGGTCACTCCATCTCAGAAAGGATATCTTGGAATTGGAAAAGGTTCCGAAAAGGGCAACAAAAATTATTAGGGGTATTGAATAGGGATGTTAAATTGTGAATAATTGACTAATCGAATAGTCAATGCATTTTGCATCGACTATTTGATTAGTTGATAAGGTGCCTCTGCCTTTGAAGTGTAGCAGCAGACCTAGGGATGTTGCTACACTTCAAAGGCAAAAGCACAGTGTAGAACCTAGGGTCAGCTGAGGACTCCCCTGCTGACCCCAGGCTCCATGATGCACTGCAGCTTTTAAATGCTATAGGGAGCCTAGTGTCAGGCAGTAAGAGGAGGGGGAAGTGACTAGTCGACTAGCTTGTTGAATATCTGATAAACATTTGCTTATCGGATAGTTGACTAGTCCTTCACATCTCTAGTATTGAATGGCTTCCATATGAGGAGCAGTTGACAAGACTGAGACTTTTCAGTTTGGAAAACAGATGACTAAGATAGGATAAGACAAAGGTCTATAAAACCATGGCTGGTATAAAGAAAGTAAATAAGGAAGTATTATTTATTCCTTCTCATAATACAAGGACTAGGCATCACCAAATGAAATTTATAGGCAGCAGGTTTAAAACAAACAAAAGTATTTTTTCATCCAACACACAGCCAAATTGTGGAACACCTTGCCAGAGGATGTTGTGAAGGCCAAATCTATAACAGGGTTAAAAAACCCCCCAAGATAAGTTCATGGAAGATAGGTCCATCAGTGCCTATGAGCCAGGATGGGCAGGGATGATGTCCTTAGCCTCTGTTTGCCAGAAATTGGGAATAGGTGATGGGGATGGATCATTTGATGACTACCTGTTCTGTTTATTCCCTCTGAGGCACCTGATATTGGCCACTGTTGGAACACAGGATGAGGGATGTTAAATATTGGTTAATTAAATAGTCAAGTAACCTCTAGTTTAAAGAGAAGCTAGATAAATTCATGGAGGTTAGGTCCATAAAAGACTATTAGCCAGGGGGTAGGAATGGTGTCCCCTTATGTTAACTACTCTCCAGTAATATGCAGACTTGTTTTATGATGCCGCTGATGTCTTTCTCTTTCCTAAATGTATCTTTGGATATAATGGGCCATTCCATCATTTTATCCATATCAATACTGTTGATTATGCAGGTGTCCCTGGTTCCCTCTTGTCCTGTCTCTCCTGCATTCTGTCTTTGGTGATAGCTCATTTTCAAGGCCAAGATCTGTCCTGTATGGAGTCCCACACAGTTAAATTTGCAGCCCTCTTAGTCTTTTCCACCAGAATTCTTTTCACTCATCTGTATCTTTTACCTCCCTGTTACTTAGCCATATGTATCTTTCACCACCTTTAGCGACTTCTACTCCACCTTTTGTGTCTTGATCAAATAAACTTGTAACTTTGTTCCAACTTCCTTCAGATAAATCTAAGACAGAAGTGCTTCTCTTGGGCAAGAAATGCTTGTTCAAACACATTTTCATTTCTTCATTTTTTTTTTCAGCTTAAGCCTCTCATTTGCCTTTTCGGTTGATCAGCTTAGCATTACTCTCAACCTTTCTGTTACATTGTCTATGCCCATGACATTGTTTACCCCATAACGCTTGTGTGAGAGGCTCCACGTGGGTGGTACCTTGCATTTTTATTTACCTGAAAAAAGCCTGATACTTATATAGTACAAAAGCTTCAGAGGGGCAGCAGAGTTAGTCTGTAACTGGGAAAATGTAAAAAACAACAAACAGTCTAGCAGCACCTTAAAGACTACAAAACATGTAGACCCATTTCTTCAGTAATCATAAACCTACTAATAAATACGTCAAGCTTCCTATCAACACTTCTGCAACATTGCTCACATTTCACTGCCACTGACTTCTGAAAGTCTTAGCCATGATTTAGTCTTTCTCTCTTCTAATCTTGACTATGACCTCATCCTCTTCTGTGGTCACCTCAGCTGTTGAAATTTCAGCAAGCAAAGAAAATTGTTGCCTATGGTTTCGCATGTACAGGAATGAAAAGGTGACACCAGGATGGGCCCAGTAGCACCTGCCCCAGGGATTTCCTGGCTGGCTCTGGTGGAGGAGGTGCCAGACTGGGGCAAGGCATATGGGATGAATGGCCTTGGGCCAGGCCAGGCACCACCCACCTAGAGGCTGAGCTACAATTGTGGGAGTGTGGCTGGACATCACTGGAGTGAGGTGAATGTGGGGCAGGGATGGGAAGCCTCTACCACCCCCACAAAGTTGTCGTCCCCTCTCCCGCCCCCGCCAATTACCTCATCTGACTCTGGCAGGGCCAGCCTGACAAAACGCGGCCTATTCTAGTTCTTATTGGCTGGCCATCATGTCAATCTACCATCCTCCCTGACTCAGCGTCCATTGGCCTGGGCTCTTTGGGGGCGGAGTGATGCTTGTTCTCGAGCGTTAGCGGCGGAGCTTAGAACGCCACGCCCTCTTCCTAGCGCCACTTGCCCCGCCTCCTCAGCCGCTGTTGGCTGCGGTCGAAGTCAATCAGGAGCAAGCGGTGTTTCTATTGGTGGGCGATAGGGAAACGGGGCGGGGCTTTTGCTTGGCCGCGGCCGCTCCCCCCCGGCTTGAAACCTCGCAGTGCCGGGGAGTTTAGAGGCGTTGAAGCCGGAGCAGAGGGGCGGGTGCGGGCGAGG